TCTCTCTCTCCTCCCTTCTGGCCTGCGCTCCCTGAAGGACGAGTGTCACAATTTCATTTAAAGTCCTCCTGCAGCAAACTGAAGACACCTGTTTGTTTGTGGAAACTAATGCTTTCAACCCATCTGCCGAACCTACAAGGTGAGAATGAACATGCATTTACACACATACAGAGATATGAGCAGCTATCTGGTACTTTTTTCCCCTTGTTTTGACCTCCATGACGGCACTTGTCATCAATACTTCCCTCACACTTCTCCTTCTCTTATTTCACACTCTTACTCACACCCTCAGGGATATTTTCCACATGCAACCCCAACCAAGCAGGAGCTACGGGGGGTGGTTGAGCTATGAAGCGATGGACATAGATGGATGACTTTAACAACTCAGCACAGGCCCTCCTCCTATGTCTTTATCTCCAGGTGTACTTTGACACGCTCGATTTAGAAGCAGAGAATCCTCCTAACTACCTTTGTGCATACACACTCACTCATTCTCAGACACACACACCCACACACTCTGAAGGCAAAGTCACGAAACCTGACTCAACCTTAAACAGACGCTTGCCTGGCCATATTCATGAAGGCCTGTCTGGAATAGTTTCAAGATTCCTTCAAGAAAAGCAAAAACATCTCGTCGAGAAAGAGTTTTAATGACCTCCGGTCAAGAAAAAAGAGCAGCTGTCATGATTGTCTTGGAAAAAATAGAGATGTCAAGAAAAGATAGACTTGCAGAGAAAAGAAAGGATTGTCATGCAGATAAAACGGGTAAAGAAAATGTATACAAACATTATAAATATTTTAAGGCAAACGGGCAAACACAAGGACAAACATAAAAGCAGGCCGGCTGTCTTTATACAGCTGCTGAAAATGTCCCATTTATTTCCTTTAATGTGTGTTTGATGGGGACAAATATACAATATATACAGAGAACTGCACAATTAAACAATGCAATGAACCAATTTATAGCAATACATTCCAATGCCCATTCCTAGAAAAGCCTTCTTATAAAACAAACCAAAACATCTTGACATAATATACGGGTTTACATTTCTGTTGACACAAGTATGTCTTGCTGGCCTATAGTTTACATACAGACACATGAACATATATTATTTATAGTACATAAACCCCACCATCCCCCCATTCCAAATGACTACTCGATTGTTTGGACTTTACATGTTTTAAATCTGAGGTTTTCTGATGTGCAAAATGTCCTATGCATCGATTTAGTCTTAGCTAATACATGAGACACGTTTGAATACATCTGTTAACTACCTACATTTTACGAGATTTAAAGGCACAAAGTGGTTTTATCATCATTTGTATTTCATTCAAGTATCCAGAGTGGTCCAACTGTAGAGTAGCTGGGAGCTGTCTTCCAGAGGAATCAGATATGAACATCATACAGGCATGAAAGAGGATCAGACAGACAATAGGAAAGACAGGAGGACAATTAAACAGCGGAGAGTCTGTCCTGAAGGATGTTACTGTTGGTTTGAGAGGATCTGATGTAATGGTCACAGCACACTGAGATGTTATCTAGGTAGCCTGGGGGAAACTCTTCTGCTTTGGTTCACTAGATCTGTTTACCAGAGAAACAAGACACCTTCGCTCCGTTGCCTTTGTGGTTCGGCATGCTAAGCACAGAGAGTGGACATCATTCAATTCACTGGCTTTCCCTGCAGGGAGAGTGGAATTTATGTCTCAGCATTTATCAGGCGTGGTTAGCTTTATCAGCCCCTCCAGTTATGGCTTCAAGGTTTGTGTTTTAGCTGTTACTGAGATGATATTGCTGCAAGTGAGTTTGAGATCAAGGGAAGTGTTGTAAAACACACCGAGGCTTGAAAAATAGTCATGCAAACACACATTTGCTGGCCTCTAAAAACATAAAATCAATGCATGCTGTTCATAAATTACTGCACATAATGGGTAATGTGTATGTAATCTGAAAATGTTGAAATTATTTAAACATTTTATGATAAGTGACACATTGATCCATAATAATTTGACAAAATAAAGCTGTTTCATTCAAATGTTATTTTTTCCAAGAGAGGCCCATTTCAAATTTGCTCACTTAATTTAACCCTTGCACATTTTATTGAGACGGTTTAATTAGCTTGAAACTGCTCTTTCCCTTTAAAGTGATACCACTGAATACACTGTGTATATACTGTATAGGATATACAAAATTGCCATTTAATTCTCGAAATAATGTAATCAATATGCCATGACTAATGTAAGACTAATTGTGATGACTTTAAAATGAGTCATCAAAACTTTCAAAATGTTGTAATGAAAAATCACCTCTGATCACTTGCACACAAACTCCCAAATGCACATAAAAAATGCCATGGCACATGTGCAGGTAAGGAAAAACAGAAGTGTGTATGCACCCATACGAACACTGACAACTGTGCAAACAAGCAGAGATACAACACACACATTTTATAAAATCATCAGAGAGACACATTCTACTGCGGGTAAGCTGGCAGGCTCTCTGGGCAGATACCAGGCGTTTGATGGCATACTGGGCTCATCCACTCTGCCTGGTCAAAAGTGTGTGTGTGTGTGCGTGTGCATGTGCGTGTGCGTGTGTATGTGTTTGTTTGTGGTTAAATCCACCTTGGCCACAGTTTGCCTCTCCATCTCCCTGGTGTGACAGCGCTGAAAAGAGCTTCTGTTTCGGGGCCAGCCTCATCCCACATTAATCAACAACACTGCAAGGGCGAGTGGGAGGGGAGTATGGGGAGACAGAGGGGGCAGCTACACCACACGCTGTCTTCTGATCTCACACCTTTCCTGCCTGGTTACCTTTTTATTTTTACAAACCCACCAATATTCTCTTCCCTTCTCTATCTTGTCATTCGCCCCTCACCTTGTGTTGCTACTATGAACACAAGCAAACACATGCATGAACAGAAAAAACACGGGCAGACACCTTGGCAACAATGCCACAGTCCTCTCCCTGGGCACAACACAGCACCAAACTCTTCCTCTATTCATCCTCCCTCCGTCCCTACTGCCCTCATCCCTTTCTCCTCCTCTCGTGCCAGCCTTAATTCCTCACCCCCCCTCTATTGCTCCCACCACTCCGCCATCTTCCCCTCTGTTGCTTTCTCCCTCTGTCACTCCCTTGCTGTGTCGTAATAATAAACACCCCATCCAGCTGGGCTGATGTACGACTTGAATCAGTTTCATGGCCTGTTGCCGGGCGAAGCGGGGGGAATCTGTGGGGAGGCTTGAAGGCAGTGGGTCCCAGGTGATGCATCTTCTACTTGATACTAGTGGACCTATTTGTACTGGGCAATTCCATCTGTGCATTTGAAATATGATTAATGCACACTGAGGGGGTTTAGGTTTATCAACAGGGTGAACAAAAAACCCCACACATTCCTTTCTTTACTAAAGCTATTTCAGAAGATGTATATACTATTGTAAAGAATGACATTAAAATAAAGTGTAAAAGGTAATTCATTGGTTAATACATTTATTGTCATGTTTGTACAATGTGTGTTCTCCAATATAGTTAAAATAGTTAACAATACTTGAGAAGTTGAGGGTCAAATAAATGTAGGACTTAAAATAAGGTATTTATTTTGACAGCTGCAAAGACTACACTTCATTGCTCTCGTGAAAAAGTAGTCAG